CGGTAGTAGTCGGAGGTGCCTGGGTCGAACTGAAGCTAGATTTCACTTTACGGCTGCCAAGGTTCTGAACTGGGCGGTAATTGTCGACAATGTTCATGGTGCTGTTCATCTTTAAGGATCGCAGGGCATCCAGCTGTAAACAGGAAAAAAAGAAGATGATTTCGTTTCTCCTACGTCGAAGGTGACACCAAGACGCGAGGGTTATAATGTATGTACACCTGTACATATTCCAGGGAACGCTACAAGGACAATTATATGTCGCAAATGAAACGTGTCGCAAGGGCAAAAGGAGGCCATAATAATTGGTTTGTAAGTATGGTTGTGCGGCATGTCAGTTCCTGTGGTTGAGGTAACAGTTGAGCAAATCAGAGACAAGGATCAAATTAGTTGTTTTTGGCACTGGAAAACGATATTTAACGTTGAGCAATAATACAAATCCTAAAGGAAAATATGACTATGCTAGGGTTTATTAATCTCGATTGTGCTCGGATTGCAGACCACGCAAAAGCAGACCAAAATTTTGGATCGCCTACAGTCTTAAAGAAACAATAACATCCGCAAAAAGTCCAAAACGTAACCCAAAATAAAGAAGCTCTTAGTAATTGCAGGAACGTTTTCTGCTAATACCCAAAAAGGTCTACCTAATATTATTTCGTAAATTTCTAGCTATCATCACCATCATCGTCATCCTCATCATCCACCACCACCACAACCACCACCACTCACAGTGTCTCAAATATCATCAGCATTGACGACAAATTAATTTCTATTTTACCTGAGCCTGTGATACCTCGACAGGATCGTTGAAAACAGTCCAGGTAACAGCTTCATTGCAGGTTGGCGTTGTTAGCGAACCATTGTACCGATAGTACTTGGTCTTGTCGGTTGGAAGGAGGTTTAGAAGAGGAAAGGCTGGAAAAATCACACTCTCGTCTGCGGATCAAAAGATGAAACAGTGAATAGCACTTCAGTATTTTTAAAAAATAACGTGCAGGACACTTGTTCCACATTATGGGTGTTTTGAGATTAAAAAGAAAACAGCAGTGCCAACCATAAAGGATAAAAAAGGTTGGCCTCGAGATGCTTTAGATGCTCTTTCTGAAAAGCGAATTACGCCACACAAGGGTGTCATTAGAGCTCCCAATATATAGAAAAGACAATGTTGATATATGCTTCAAATACCTAAAACTGTAAGTCATGCATACTGAGAAAGTATTATATATAAGTGTAACAAACAGCACAGTTGTACATCTGCATTTTCGTCTAACCACGGTGGGCGTTTTAAACGCTGTTATCAAATTTTAAATTTAACACATAGCAGGAAGACAGGGCACTTCCACCTTAACAGAATGCGAAACGAACTTACCCTTGTTCATCACAGAGTTGATGTGATCCAAGAACAAGTTATAATGCGAATTGTTGCTTGAACCAAGCTATAATTTATAAAACAATAACAAAAATAAAGCAACGAAATATTTAGTTCCTTGATTTCACTTTCACACCTTCTGGCAGATTTTTTTTCTCAGTTCAGCTATATCATGAATATTTCCGTTTGTTAATAGTGTTCAAGGCATTTTCGAACCAACTTGATAATGTGAACACTCGTGGATACCGGCTATTTTTCGTGGTGATACAAAAAAGCTCCGCCTAGAAAGAGAGGTTAGCTTTGGAATGACTCCTTTGCGCCAAAAGTACGGAAACACAGTTAGAAAAAATCCACATTTTCAGTTATTTAGACATCAAACGGTACCATACGAAAGTAGTAGGGAGGTTAAGATGTCACTACGGCAACAGAAACGAAAACGTCAAAAAGTTAATAGGTTTAGATTAGCAAAACAACAACTCAGAACGTGCACCAAGCTTTTTTGGACAAATTTCACGTTTCATCGACAACGTGAACATGCGACGACAAATTTCTCTTTCCACCCCCAACTATCCCTTACACAAATTGCATTTGTATGCGCGAGCCAACATGCGCAGAAGGTTATCACCTTGTCGATGTTTGGCAGGCATCACTGGGCGGTATCAGGCGCCCAAGCTCTTATCCCCGTTCCCTCTCCCAATTCTCCCACGCGTTCTCTAAAACAGGACAGTGAAGCCCATGGAGGAGGCTAATAACGCGTTTAAACTGAGGTTTCATAGTTGAATGATGACGTCAACGGATTTCATCCACAGTCTCGAACTTTTAATAAAATAATACCATAAATCAAAGTACTGCTTTGGAGGTCCCATTTGCATGTTTGCACCCGTTAGCATGCAAAGACTAAAACCAGGGGCACCCAACGGCAATTTTCGGAAAATATCTGTTGGGAAGACGATTTGAGATCTAGAATTTTCGAAACATTTGTTGTAAAATTTCTTGCTTACCTGCCTCTCCTAGGATTTTCGAACATCTACAAAATGGTATAATTACCCACTTTTAACGGATTTTTACCCTAAAAAAGGCCACCTAGAATTTTCGGGAGCCTTTTCTTGGCTGAAATTTTCGAAAAGGTAAGTTTTGATCCCTATAATTTTCGGATCACTAGACTTTCAGCTAGGAAATCCGAACAGATGAAAAGTTTTTAGGGGATAAAAATATGGCTATATCTACCATTTAGATACTAAAATACGTTCAACAATGCTATGTTAAGTGGTTTTGAACTATATCCTCGTTGGGTGCCCCTGTAAAACTTTAGGTGAACATTTCACAGTGGGGGAGTAAAAGGGTTTTATCAAGAGGAAAACATGTTTACCTTGAGGAAAACACCCAGCACGGCCAAACCATCTGAATAACCTAGCGACTCACTGAGGTTGGAGTATTTGGTGTTCATGCTGACGAAATGGATCTAAAAATTGAGAACAGAATTTAAGTCATAATAAGTAACGTTTCAAAGCACGAACAGTAATGTTTAACCATTGGTTGAACGGCATTCAGCGCGAAAATGTGCTATGAGTGTTTTGAACAGCTTCAAAAGCGTCCCTAGAGTATTTCATTTCAATAGAAATAATAAATAAATTTAAATAATAAATTTCCCTTTATTAAAAAAACTTTTTTTTGAAAAAAGTCAAACAAAAGCAGCCGAAATAACAAATGCAGGTGATAGATACAGTTATGCAAATACACTATGCAACTGAAGTTGCTACACAGTTTCAGGGTCTATAAATGCCTACGTTAAACGGCTAGTATCCAAGTAAAAAACATTTTCACAGTTGATAACTGCACATGACGGAAAACACGCTGGAGCAGAGAATTACAAACTGGTAAGAATTTAAGTAATTCGTGACTCATTTCACCAACTCCGCCAGCCATGAAGTTTTCTTGACTTTTTCACAGCCATAAAATGCGTCTTTAAAACGTTTTAGGACGTTTTACGGTACAAAATGAGAGCCAGGATTTCCCTACCCTTTCACTTATTTCAACTTGTGAAATATCCGGCTACCCTTTCATATACAGGAATCCTGAAAAAAGATATGGGGGGAGCCTCCCTGTAAAGACCATATATCATTGGGATTACCTCCTCTGGGAAGGTAACACCATAGTTATGTTACACAGAGTACATTTAAAGTGAAAGTTCACCGTAAACTCTAAAAATGGGCAATGTCACCACACTGTAAACCTCACAAAAAAAACGCACCTCGGCAGGAAATTTATTCCCGTTCAGGGTATGTTCCGACAATAGGATCACTAATTCTTATTCAACTCGTGTAACTGGCTTAAATAATCAGGCGCCGTTTACTCAACAAAGGCAGAGCGAAGCAAAACCCAATTGCGACTTAAGCACATAGAAGCGTTTTTCCTGGCTATCGTTTCAGCTTTTACCAAGGTAATCAGTCGCGGATCTAGGATAAATACTGACCGATTTCCTAAACGAGGGGCCGAGAGAGCAAGCTTCTAGGGGAGCCCGGGGACATGCACCCCCGGGAATTTTTTTGGATACTAAGTCCCTAAAGTTCGCTTTCCCGGGTTTCTGATTCATTAGGGGCGCATCAAATTCCCAGAAATTGGACAAAGAAAACATTTGTCCAGACCATTTTCAAGATTTCAACTTGGAAAGTTCTATTATTATTAAAAATAAGTTTCTTATGAAAAATCTGACCGATTTCCGTAAAACGGTGGAAACCGGTGTGGATCCGGGCCTGGTAATTACTTTCATGATACAAAGCTTAACGCTGCCACATATAGCATCGAACATAACACACCTCAGCAGGATACATCATCTCGTCCATAGTGTGTTCCGATCCCCGGCTGTTGTTTGATCCCCAGTGCAGGTGCAACTGAACGGTGGTGTAAACTCCAGGGAGGCCACCTCCGCTTACGTTGTATATATGGCTGTCCATTGATACTTTCAAGGATTTACCAGTGTTTTTAGCGGTAAAATTGACACCAGCTGGTGTAGTGTCGTAGTTGACAAGTGTAAAATCACCCAGGCTTGAGTCATACATGGCTGTGGTGGTGTTGATGTCTATAGGCGACTGTTTACTCCCAGAACCGCAACTACCACCCCAACTATTAGGTCCTAGAGAAGAATTACGAGGGCAATGTAATGTAAGAAGCGCAAAGAGATTAAAAATGAATCGAAAAAAATAATGACGATAATGAAGTCTTCAACCCACTATTGGACTTAATTAATTATTTTATGTGTAGTGCTCTTTAACTGGGTGTTTGTCCTTGCAATCTAGTTTGTTTTAAAATATTCCAACATCCACCACCTATGTACCGCGCAATGAAATGATCAAATGATTTACAATCAACACGTGATCAACAGTTGAATCGTATATTCCACTTATCACAGCGAAACAGTGAAGCACGATGTGATGGAGTCGACATATTGCAGTTAAAGTTTTTTTAGCTTTGCATACGAAAACTTCATGACAACGTTATTTTTCCAGAGAAGGAAAATAATCTTTTCATTAAACATCAGTACATACTAAAAACCAGTTTCGTAAGCGACCACCTCGGGATTCCATGAATGAGTGGTCGTAGCTAGAGCTGGTTGTTTACGAGGGTGGACTCTCGTAAAATTATTGAGCTTGGTCGCGTTCGACCAGGGTTCTTCTACGTTGCACTTATCTAAATTTAAGAACTCTAGAACAAGAAAAAATGAAAACATACCATCCGCTGCATTTAAATCATAGCTCCAACCTAGGAAAACAATAGGTGTTACCGTCAGGTTAACGAAAAAATGATCAAACCAAAACAAGAACACAACACAACAGCTCTGCACGTGTATCATGATTTTTTGCAAATTTCCTTGCCGCTGCTGCAGATGTACAACGTGAATTGAGTAAACTCTAAGTTAACTTGAGAACGGGAACGGTAAGGAGATAAATTTTACTATCTGCCTGAACTCGGGCGCGGTCCTCTCTCTTCAGCTCCAACTTAAATTTGCTTCTCTTAAGTAACTGGACGACTTGGAATAGTCGCAAAAAGTTTGCCAAAGACTGCGAAGTCTTTTTATCAGCGACGATTTCATGGACGTCGCCGTTGTCGGATTGTAAGGTTCCTAGCCTGGGACCAGGCTCCACAGTGAGGAAAAGAAGAAAAAAGGAAGAGAAAAATCTGCGCGCGAAGCGAGCGGAGCGGAAGTCTGAGGAGGGAAAAGGGTGGCCCAGGCTATAAGGTCCCTAATGAAGGTTTATACCTCATGGCCGAATGCCATAGAGTCTTCACCCCACATGATCCCATGTGGTAGCTACAAGTGGGTATAGTAGCAGTAGTAACTGTGGTAACTGTAGTAACTGGCTATATAGCAGCCGTATTAGCTGTAGTAGCTATATGGCATTCAGCCTAGAAGTATATGTTGTAGTTAATTTTTTGGCTCAGATAATTTTTGTTTTCCTATTGTTTTTGGGTACGGTAATGTATGTTGATCAGGTTGCAACGAAAGAAAATAAAAATTTGCTGAGATAGAAAATTCAGCTACAACATATGTACCGACACGAGCGTCCATCATGGAACTACAATCACGGACAAAAGTAGTTGGGAAGGTGGAATAACTTAACAACATTATTCCTCCATTTCATACGCCTTATGTCTATGTTCAAAAAAGATTATTTGTTCTTCTCCTGAATACCCCCCGCGCCCCCTTTTCAATGTTGGGACATGTAACAACAATTATGCACAAAAACAATTTAGTTTTGTCCAACAGTGATCCAGGGGCGGGGAGGACAAGTACAAAAAAGGTAAAAATTGGTAACCTTCCCAACATTTTTGACGATGATTGTAGATGGGAAATATGGTTTTCTTTGTTGAGAGGGTTTGGACATGATAAGTTTTGGGGCTTTCGTGATGTGCTGAACACAGCTGGCTGAACATGCCGCAAAAATCTGTCTCATCATTAGCTAGGTCTCGGGAAGCGAAACCACTGCAAAGCTATGCGACAACCACAAAGGTTGCTTCGGTTATAAAATTTCTATCGATCATTCTCTCATTTTTCCCTCGCCAAATTAACGGCTAAGGGTGTAAAAAATGAAAACATACAGACTTGTATCGTAGGGCAAATAAGGTTGGCGGAATCACAAGCTATTTAGTCGCTTTGCATTTGATGCCGTGTATCTAATTTTGGACTTGGCGCTTCATTCGATGGAGACGCACGTTTGGGCAAGGGATTTGTGTATGAAAACAGCAATGTAGGGATAACTTGAATAGTTTTCCTGTACAAAAATGTATAACGTACGTCGCACTGCAATTCAATTTTAGTGCGCCTCTCAGAGTACATAGATCATGTTCCTCTCTGCGTACTATTTGCAATATTTCTTCGCCTGTCAGACAAACGTTGTTATCCAACTAACCGACGTGCTTTATTTTTTGAACATG